TAATAATAATAATAATAATAATAATAATAATAATAATAATAATAATAGGTTTCGTATCACAGATCACTAGTCAAACACTTCCCAAGTATTTAGGACTATGTGATGTATCAGCAGATTATGTTGCAGATTATGTACAGATTATCCCAGTAAGGTGGCCTTCTGCAGCTGACCAATGGTGATCTTGTCAGTGCCAATTGTTTTTAATTGCTTGCCTAGGTCTTTAACCCAGCAAGGTTATCTCATCTGCTGGGTATACTGTCATTTTTGTGTATTATTATTATTATTATTATTATTATTATTATTATTATTATTATTATTTGAAAAAAGGAACATGGAAGGGAAAAACAGCCCATATATAGTCATTTAGGCATAACCAAAAAAGTAGAAAATGGTATATCCATATTGGGCTTGTTGAATATCTTTTCAGAATAAAATCACATATTTATCATCACAAAGGGTAACTTAACTTCAGAAGAAAATCATTATTCAAAAATCATTATTTCCCTTTGACAAGAATGCAATAAATAGTCAGATCCACCTTGGGCAGTTTGCCATAACAACTTTGATACCTCACTATATTTTAATAAAACTAGGCACTGCTCCATTGGCAAATTTCAATTTGGCATAACCATAAAGATTGGGACCAATTTAGAAGAGCCATACATCAATAAGCAGAGAAAACAGATTGCTAATAACAATAATACCTGAGAAAACATTGGCAATACTTTTTGTTCGGTAATTACATTGACGCTATACCCCATCACTTCTCCTCTTGCTTCATTATCTTGTGGCTTTTCCCAAGACACATTCAGAGAATATGGTGAAAGAGGGAATACTGATGGAAGTGGCATGAATACAGGAGCTAAAACACAAATAAATGTGCTAATTTATCATAAAATGAATGAACAACATGTGTCAGGCACGTTTTCCCACTATATTTGTAAAATACCATCTGTTAAAATGGCTCTTTGCATCCAATTCCTAAATAAGCAGCTTGTAGAAATTAATTTTCAAGTCTGAAAGAAATTTTCATTTTTTTTTAAAGCTACAACTTCAAAATAAACATTTGCCACCTTATGAGCAAACTCTTGCATCTTTTTTTCCTATAAGGTGCAAACCACCACTTCATGTAAAGCACAGGCTTATCTTGACTTGGGAAAACCTGATTAAAAGGAAGACTGAGTAATTCAACAAAATACAGTACATTTAATTACTGAGAAGCATTTTTTTTCTCTCTTTCTCTCTCTCTCTCTCTCTCTCTCTCTCTCGCTCTGTGATTTAATTTTATGACCACCAATTTTTTAAAGATAATCCCATGTTTTAGAACTTATACAGTACCATTGATTGGCAGTGCTTTAGAAAAACTTCTTATATATATCACTCTTCAGAAAGATCTGCTGGAAGTTTTAACTTCACAAGCAAATGAAAGTGAAATCCTTGGCTCGAAGCCATTATTTAATTTGCCCAGCCAAAAAGTATTTTAGACTTAGACACCCAAGTAGTAGAATTACTAAAGACTAGTTTTTCATTTCTTCCTATCAATTCAGATTCCCTTCCTTAGCTGGCACAAATTTAGCTAAAGCTTTGTAGAAACTAGGAAGAATCTCAATTTTAAATCAAGGCCAAAATGACATAAACAATTCATGGCTCTCTTGCAGAAGTGGTGGAATCTGTTTGCATCCTTGGTATTTTTTTTCCTGCTTTGAGAAATTCTAGCTCTTAGCAAATGTTCATAAATTAATATTCAGTATAAATTTAATAGAAATCAGTGGATTTAGGTAAGTCTCTCAGAGGTTTATTTAATTTACTTAAATGAACAGAGTAAACATTTTTAGCAGCTAAATATCATTAGCCAAAATAAGTAAAGACATGAGTATGAAGTCATTAGCAATCAATATCTGTTCTAAATCTTATATTGTAAAACCAATTTTTGATATTATTAGCAAGTAGGGCTTCCATTGAAAGACAAAACTATACTATCTGGCATTAATCACTTTTTTAAAACTTAAAAAAAAAATCAGCTTAAAAAATGACATTTTAGATTTAAACCCCAACTTTAAAAAAAACAAGCAAAAAGTTTTGAAAGCTATGTTTGAAATATTAATCTACATGGTTAATGTAAACTCCACTAATTACCTGCCTCTGCTGTTCTTTGTAATGTCCAATTTGAAAATGTGCTGCCAGCCATATTGGCTGATAAAACACGGAACTCATAGTCTGTGAATGGCTCCAAATCAGTGATGACAGTACTAGTTACAGGTGGTGTCAAAGCTTTCTCATGTATAGATTCTTCCACTGGATGAAGATTGAACCATCCATTGCTTTGGAAAACACAGTTCTCAGGGGAAACATGACTTCCATTGGATTGTACACTTCCTTTCATATATAATTCATATCTAATAATTACACCTAGAAATGAAAGTAGGCAGCTTACAAAACAAGTACTGTATATTTTCCCTGAAAATATTTTCATTTGTACTTTTATAATTACTATCTAATGCTAAAACTGGTGTGACTTAAAGTATATTGCCCAATTCATCCTCCCAAAATGCATGTGGTAATAGTTGTTCCTTGCTGGAAGTGTGCCAATACCAATTATACTAAGACCAATCATAACCATAACCTATATATTCTTCAACCTCTGAGAAGGACAAAATAGCTCTTCAGAATATGAAGGCCTGTTGAAATTAACTTTTAATTGTTTTACAGTTTCACTTCCTATTGAATGATTTCCTATTTAATAATAGGAAATAAATTCTAGAAAGCAGCAGTTGAAAAAACTCAATCCTGCAAAGAGTCAACACTGGGAAGAAACTTTCTATAGAGAATAAGAGAGAAAACATTGATGGAAATATGCAAGAACTGTTACCTATACAAAAGGGGTGAAACATTTTTTTTTAAATCTAGAGCAACAAGATAAGTTTCAGAAGTGACTCAGAAACATGCCTCCCAAATTTATTGGAGTATAAGAAACAGGAGGAGGTACAGCACAACCAGACTTGCAAGATTCTGTTATTACAACCACTTTCAAATCTTTCCTGTAGAGTTGATTTCTGGTCTGGGTTACTTAGTGCCAATTATCTCAATTATTTGCATGGGTTTTGTTTCTACTCCTGAAAATTATAGGCCATAAGTATACATTCTCTTAAGCAGAAATTAAGCAGATCTTTGGGAGGAGAAGTTATCTTGCCTGTAATATGTGACACACTATCAAAAGAACACGAGATATTATACTGAGTCAATTCAGAAGTCTATCCATTCCAGTACTGGCTAGCAGCAATTTCAAGTTGGTTGCTCCAGCCCTATCTAGAGCTATGGAGACCAACTACATGCAAAGTGTGTGCTATACCCATGAACTGTTCCCACCTTTCTATATGTGACTACGAATGAGTAATAAATGGGGGTGAGGAGAGAGGAAACAAGTCTCATTGAGTTTTATACCAATTGCCTTCATATAACCAAGGGACTTATTCTATTTTCAGGAAAAAAATCCCAATAATATAGAGATCCAGTACTCCCCAAATTGCTGAATCAAACACAAAAACTTACCATTGGTTTTCCTGGGTGGGGCCCATTCTACAGCCAATTCAGTAGAGCTAATATTCCTTATGACTGGAGGTAGCTGCTCCTCAGGAGGTGCTTGTGCAGTAACTATTGACAGTTGCTGGCTTAGCAAACAGCCTCCACTAGTACATGCTTGAACATAAAAGTTGTATTTTTCAAATGGAACTAAATTCCAGACAGTTATAGAAGTCCCCAAGCTTTCATGCTGGCCACAAGATCGATGTTCAAATGAAGAAATGCACGTCAAAATATATTTCTCTATTGGACCAGTGTCATTTGATAAGGCTGTCCAGTTAAAAGAAATAGAATAGGGTCCAACAGGAAAGACTGGATTTAAATGCAGATTTCCTAGAGGTATCCCAGGTTGTGTTCTGTAGGTCAACTCAGTACTTCTTGTAAATCCGTGGATGTTGCTTGCTTCAAGGTAATACGTATAGAAGGTATACGGAAGTAAATCGCTATCAACAAAGACCTGGAGGCCTGAACAAAGTATGTAAACATCTTTCTTTTATTTTATTTAAACTATAACTTTAAATAAAGTTAGACTACAGTTCTTATAAAATGACAAAGAAAAGAAAACAAAGCTGGAGAATATTATTAACCAAAATATGACAATCATTTTAAAAAGAATGCTGAATAAATAGTTAAAACTTAGCAAAGAGTCTTTGCTTGTTTGCTTGTTTAAGCCATAGAACTAAAAGACTGACTCAGGAAAATGAGCCCCAAATTACGGGATCTGAATTTTTTTGGAGCTGTAGCTTTGTGTGGAGAAAACTTGCTGAGAGGGAAAAAAAAGGTGTTACATTTTACTTGTCAAAACTGAAATGCTGCATTTTAAATCATTACTGAAGAATCAACATAAAGCTTAATTTAATAGGAAGATATATTTTACCATCAATTTCTCCTCAACCATTTAGCATAAACATTAGTAGAACTGTAAAATATAAAATGTTGAAATCTTTTACTTTGTGAGCATTAAATGCATTATATTTAATTTCATCTGCATTATGTTTCTTACTAGACTATTTGTTAAAGTTGCAGCCATGAACTATTCCCTCCCTCCTACTTTGGGTTGCATCTCTAACAATACGATGACTTTTGCTAGGGCTGCATCCATTCATATGTGCCTGTGCTGGTTTTTGTTTTCTTGTGTTTTCATTATCTGAAGCAACTCAGATATAATATTGGATGTTAGTGAAGTTTACAGCACTACATATAGTCATAAAGAGACATTTCCCTTTTACAAATAAATAATATTTTCTGGAATTAATCTAAAACATTATGGAGTTAACACCTAAAATTAGACTTTCTGCACCAGGGCTGCCAAACTCCCAGCCTGTGGGCCGGATACGTCATGTGCTGGCCAGGCCCACACCAGGTTTAGTGAAGGGGAAAAAGTCCCAATATGTGAGTTTGACACCCCTAGACCAACTCAAGTAGTTCAGAATTGTCCTGAACAAACAGCAGTGTTTCTGCAACACTGTCTTGGAAGAGTCCATTATATAATGTCAGAGGCTTTGCTTTATATACTCAAAAGCTCAAGCTCAATCATTAGCAGTTCAAAGATTCAGGTAGCAGGTCATGGAAGAAACCTCTCTTTAAGACTCTGAAGAGCCTAGTCAAAGTAGATATATTGGGCTAAGTTGACCAATAGTCAGACAGACATCATTTTCCCACTAGTGACTTATAGTGTCAGCCAGCCATTGCTGAAGTGATATAAAGCCTGTCCTCATTATTATTATTTTCACGCAGACATGGTTGGCCTAAAATAATGTTTCTCAACCTTGACAACTTTAAGAAATGTGTATTTCAAAAAGAATTGAAGGCTACATGGCATAAAGCTGCCAAGGTTGAGAAATGCTGGTCTAAAATATTAAATAAATTGTAAAAGGGCAAATGACCAGAGTAGTACTTCTAACCTGGCATAAAATGTCTATCTTATATCTCAATATAATTGATAATCAATATTCATAGGAATGGATATTTTTACCTGTCTGACTGGAATGAAAGTCAGTAGTGCACAAATACATTTCTGCTCATCTAACTCTTTCATCTCTATCCCTTGTCACTTCACTGCAGCCACTCCAGAAGATTGGTGGAATTCTGGGGAAGATTTGGAAGGCCCATGCTTCACTGCAGGGCATAAGGTTAGCAATGCTCCAGCGATGGAAGCATTTCCATCAACAGAAACATCCCCACAGAATGAAAACATTTAAAAAAATTAAGAGTTAAAGGAGAAAGGTTTCTTTAAAATGCACAGATAGTCCTCGACTTGCAACAGTTTGTTTAGTTGCAGGATCCAATCTGGGTTAGTCACAGGCACCAGAGGTTTTGTCTTCCAAGCTTTCATGGCTCATGCTGGAGCTCATCTTTTTGAAAAAGAACTTCATTCATGAACTTTAACTTTATTCATGAACTAAAGAACTTTAGAAAGAAGGTCCCTGAAGTTGGGCACCAGCACAAGTCTGACAACTTGGAAGACAAAACATCTGATCCCAGTGACTGACCCAGATTGGATCTGCAACATCATCCTGGGACATGTATATCTGCCTTCATTTGTGAGTTTGTTTAGTCACTTTAGGGCTACTCAAAATTACAACAGCATTGAAAAAGTTACATATGACCACTTTTCGTACTTATGATTGTTTGAAGCATCCCCATAGTCACATTTGGATGCTTAACAACTGGTTCATATTTATGATGGTTGCAGTATCCCTGGGTCATGTGATTCCCTTTTGCAGTTTTCTGACAAGCAAAGTCAATGGGGAAACCAGATTCACTTAACAACAAAGGTGGTCAGCAGGTTCTGACCAGTTCTGGTAGCAGAAATTGTGTGTGATGACCCATAGTCTCTCAAAATAACCCCAAAGCCAAAACATATATTAAAGTCCGGTAAGGCCTTCAACTTAACTTCACTGTTTTATTAGGCACAGTTTAAAGTCACAAAAATAAATAATGAGGCAAACAGAAAACCAAAACAAACCGCATTGATGAGAGTTCCGAAGCAAGCCAAGATAACTAATCATAAACTCCAGGAAAATAACTGAGAAAAGTCCATGGGAAGAATGCCAGCAAATATAAACCTCTTTCAATGTGAACACTCAATTGACTCCTGCAAATTCTAACTGCGCAGTTGCAAACTTATATACATAGCTCCCACTTGCAAGCCACAAGGAGGATCATGGTAATCTCCTCTTGAGTAGACCTCGCTTTTCCCTGATCCTCTCCTCCCTGCATGACCTAGAATGGATAGGGGATGGGCCTGGATCCTCCTCTGACTGCTCAGCCGGCCTCTGCCCTTCCCTAGCCTCCTCCACCACCTCTGGAGCCATACTCCCACTCCCTGTTGGCTGTTCCTCCTCTTCCTCAGAGTCACTCTCCACCAGGGGCATGACTGTGAGTAGCTAGGAGAATCGGCAAATATCACTTCTGACTGGGCCTGCCCCCATCTATTCTCTGCCTCCCGAGTCCCAGCTGATTGGCTGGGTCTTCTTTTGTTGCCCTGCATAGGAGAATGGAGCTGGAAAGCCAGATAAGTGGGGTGGGGAGGAAATGGAGATTTTGCAATAACCTTCCCCCTGGAGTGGGGTGGGTATGGAGATTTTCAATATCCTTCTCCTGCCATGTCCACCAAGCCACGCCCACCAAGCCATGCCAGACCCACCAAGCCATGCCCACAGAACCAGTTGTAAAAAATTTTTGAATCCCACCACTGCTTAACAACCATGTTACTAATTTAACAACCTCAGTGATTTACTTAACAAATGCGGCAAGAAAGGATGTAAAATGGGGCACAACTCACTTAACACATTTGTCACTTAACAAATTTTGGGCTCAATTGTGGTTGTAAGTTGAGGACTACCTGTATCTATGTGTATTCTAGCTTTTTGTTCTAACTCTAGAAAGCTATCAATAAAATAATCAAGCAAGGTTTTGAGGATATTGAGCGACTCCTTGTTGTCAATGGGGGGACAGGGGTTATTGCTTTTTATATCAGGTTTTTATCTTTGTAAGCAGCCCAGAGTGACTGAGACTTGGGCAGTCATATAAAATTTGTTAAATAAATAAAATAATTTATAATTTTCCTTGACAAATTGGAGACTTCTGTATCTGTAATTTCACATTATTATTCAAACTAGGAGTTCTATGAAGGTAGTTAAGTGGTTGTATGTAATATAAATGCTATATACATCCTGAAAGCAGCCATAAATGTAAGAATTCTGTAGCATTAACTCACTTTAATAATGTTTCAAATCATTATGATTGACAAAAATCTTAGGCTATTTGTCTAGCCACATAAATACAAATTCAGTTTGGGCCTTAGAAATCACTGGTATCAGTCTATGATTAGAAAAGAACTTTTAGTCATTGTAACAGGAACTGCATACTTTGCTAATGAACCTTGAAAAGACACCAACAGAACATGCTAAAAGACTAAGGGAGGCAAAATGTCCTGATTGGTACAGGGCTATACATTGGTCTCAAAGTTTAGGAATTTTGTCTATTTGCCAGCACAATTCAAAGTGTCATGTAAATACCTAGATGTTTCCTGCCTAATTAAGACCCTTGGGAGTGGACACATCTGCCTTTTGATTAAAATATGCAGAGAGCAGATCTCTCAGGCAAAGGAAGAGGCCGTTAGTAACTGTTGCACATGGATAGTGTTATATTTGTGCTGTGTGGACCGGAGGTTCTGGAGGTCGTCTATGCATCCAGCCACAATGGAAAGAAGAATCTGCAGCTTGATGGCTCAGTAGAAGCAAGCATGGTTAGAAAGAGATCTGCAGAGCAGATTGGCTAATGGACTGCTACATTCGGAGGGACTGACTGGGAATCAGTGAGCAAAGCTTGACCAATGTACTGGAATTCAAGAAGCAATTTTCCCCTCTTTCCCTTCTCATCCCCAGGCTAAATGCAGTAAAGTGAGAGTAGTGAGGCTGTTTCATGAGTGAGCATATAAAAGTAGAAATAAAGGTAGAAATGATAGCAGTGTTTCAATATTTAAGGGGCTGCTGCAAAGAAGAGGGGGTCAACCTATTCTCCAAAGCACCTGAAGGCAGGACAAAAAGCAATGGATGGCAACTAATGAAGGAGAAAAGCATCCTAGAACTAAGGAGACATTTCCTGACAGTTAGAACAATTAATCAGTGGAACAACTTTCCTCCAGAAGTTGTAAATGCTCCAACACTGGAAGTTTTTAAGAAGAGACTGGACAACCATTCGTCTGAAATGGTATAGGATTTCCTGCCTAAGCAGGGAGTTGAACTAGAAGACCTTTCAACTCTGTTATTCTGTAATTCTGTAAATATAGAATGATTGGATGAATCGGGGAATAACTGTCCCTTAATTTGGGACCGTTAAGAACCTGCAAAACGTTATGTAAAGAAATGTATTTATAGTTGATAAGCTAAGGCCTCTGTGTGTGTAATGGAATTGTATACAGACACACAAATATACCAAATATTAATTTATTAAATGTATATTAATTGAAAACTACTGCAACAATAGGCATCAGTGTAACCTAGAGAAGAAGTTTGTGTGTTTGTATGTGCAACAATAAGTCAGAAAAGTTCTTGTCCTTTTCCCACTCTAATCAATTGTAAGAATATCTGTTATGTCTTGGGGACCGGTTGGGGTTCCAACCGGGTCCGCTCTTTAAGCAGGATCACCAA